CCATAAATAAACTTTTACTCAAAACAGAGATGCGATCTTTGGAATGCAATGTCATAACGAATATTTGGTAGAAAATATTACTACAAGCACAAAAAAACAGAAATGTCTCAGAAATAATATTATATAATTAAAAATGAGCTATCTCAACTTTTTTTTATAAACGCACAACATTCTGGGGCAAAATCATTTATGTTCTCACAAGCACATAAATGCTCCCATGACCCTAATAATGTTCCCTTTTGAGCACATTTGTGTTCACCGAGAACATCCAGGAGGCCATAGTGGATATCCCTTTGAAAGTGCCCAAAGCCTTCGCAATTATAACATCGTATATTGGTATGAGACGAACCACGACCACCAGAACTATTATCATTTCTAGCACCACGATTTGGATGGCCACCATGGCCACCACCATGACCACGAAGACCTTTGAATCCCCCACGGGAACCACCACGACCTCGGTAACCACTACGACCATGAGAACCACCACGACCAGACGAATGCCAAGAGCGCATGTAGTGGAGCAGCTCCTTGGACTCCGCGACTGAAAAATCCATGGGATCATCCACCTGATAATCCATTCCAAGAGAAGATGCCTTCCGAACCGAAGATACACCATCTAAACGATTGCCTTCATAAATGTGCGCAGCCCGAATCACCTCGCTCAGGATCGGATTCTCCATGTCAACATGATCCTTGATACTGCCTCTAGCTGCCGAGTCCTTCAAACCAGCAATAAACTTATCGACGGCTTCCTCATCCGTCATGCGTGGAATAATCAACTTGATGGTCATGAAGTCTTGTACGTATTGTGTAATAGTCGACAATTGCTTTAAACTACGCATCCTGTCTCGTGCTACGGAAACCGAGTTATCAGGCTTAAAGTAGGCACGCAACTCCGTTTTTAGTTGTAACCAGTTATCCGGAGCAGAATTCAACAATCGCAGGTTTTGATACCATACTTTTGCGGCACCCGTAAGTAATGTTACACCCAATTTAGCTGACTTGATGTGATCGAGACTCTTGAGATCCGAGTAATCATCTATGGATAGAATCCATGCTTCAATTGTGTGAGGATCTCTGGAACCATCATATTTGCGAGGTTTTTCAACGAAATCAAAAGCATCATCTGTATGCTTCTTCGAAAGTATCACCTCTTTCAAAATTTCTGCGATTTTTAAGATATCACTGTTGTTGCCTGCTTCACCAGCAGATGAAGATTCACCTTTGTTCATTTTGTTGTTGTTGAGTGATCCTGGTCCAAAAAATTTACGTGCCAATTCACTTGCTAACTTGTGCCAATGTTCTTCTCTTTTTATTGTTGATGTCAATCTTTCTTCTTTAGTAAATTGACCACTTTTTGTCCTTCTTAATTTGCTGTTATAATAGTCAATATCGTCTTGATATTTAAGTTGTTTGATGACCTTTTCTTCAATTTCAAATTGGTTTTTTAACTTCTGGAGGTCTTCTTCAGGTATATTTGACATTCACCAATCACTTGAATAAAATAAAAAAAAAAAAAACGATAAATTGGTTCAGATGCTACCAAATGTCGTGTGCAGATAAATATGTTTTAGAGTAAAATTATAGGAAGTATGTAAAATGTTATATATGAGATAAAAAGATACCTTTATTATTTTAAGATACAATTGATATTTATATACTAATTAAAATGGTTACACACAAAGTCTGTGAGCAACTGACAATGGCATTTGACATCGAAAAACATATTTTTTATAAAAAAAAAATTATGTTGCCAACTGTGAGATTCGAACTCACGCCTCTCTCGAGATCGCAACTTGAGTGCGACGCCTTAGACCGCTCGGCCAAATTGGCTTTCGTAATATCGACAAATGCAAATATGGTTATTGAGTTTCTAAAGGGTGTAATGTAGATACACAGAAATAGTAGATTTAAAATATAATACAATTGGCAATATTGTATTATAGGTTGTAACAAGATAAAAAGGTGTGTTTATTGTTTTATGTTTGTATCAATAGTATAAAGGGATTGTTCGTGTAATATGACATGTAACCTTTGTCTCATATTTTTAGTTCACGGGATTCTAGGTTTGGACCTACGTGTTAATGTCAAAATAAGTCAGTAAAATGAATCTGCCAAAGAGTTACACTTTTATTAGAAACACATCCTCTGGATGTATTTATATAAACTAACATTATGTGCTAACGTCATCATACACAACTGTAACCAAGATTTATATATAGAGCATGCGGTGTAAATCCCTGATTTACCACGCACATTGGCTTTTAGCCCCTTGATCTTGCTACAAGGTCTATGACATGTTATTGATATAACACTACGCTTCTTTCCTTTATTTGAGTTTAAAGCTTGTATCACATCCTATAGTTCGTAATCACTATCTAATTTTCTCTCGACAATGACAATGTGATACTTGCCGTTGTTTAGAATAACAGAATATAGCCAGAAAAATACAATTAGAATTGAATATATTTATTCTGCTATTCCAAGATTGAATGAGGATTTAACTTGGTGTGCACTTTGAAGGTACTTATAATTATTTGACAGTGCCGCAGCAATAAGACCATGATCTAGGATGAGGAATAATTGGGTACGCCTTGAACCAATACCTAGGAGCTGGATTGATCAGAGCTTCCAAGTTACCAGTAAGACAAGAGCGCAGATACGTATGAAGGATAGAATGTTCTTCATAGTGGTTTTGACGGAAGAACATTCATCAGAATTTAACACCGATTTTAGGAACCACATTGTTGTATCTATAGAATACCATGGTTACCACTATTTCAACTCAGTTGTCATGGCAACCGTTCCTAATCGGATTTAAGGTTAAATGGCATCGATTATTCTATCTAGTAAATAGAAGTATTCAATAGAATGTCTTGTATAAGAAACCATCTATTTGGGTTCTACTTATTCTAAATTGCGAAGCTCAACTTATCGATGAATGATTCACATTCGTAACGATTAGTTGATTAAATATAGAAATAGGTCTTGCTCTGACTTCTGCTGTGTTATAATCTTGTTTGACAATTAAATGTCAAACATGACCTGATTGTATTTGTAATGAAATGGCACCTATTATATAGCACCACAATTACATTAAAATAAAATCCAGATGGATCATGGCTGATCCATCCAAGAAAGAAATACATGAAAAGCACAAGTAAACATTAACAAGTGTTGGTAGAGGCTTGCACTCCTGATCAAAGTACAATCTCCTACAACCCTGGCACATGCTAATGTTGAACAACGCTACTCATAATTACAAATAAACAAATTCTAAACATGTATAAACAATGCAATTGTCAAAACAATTGCAATAATTCTAGATGCCAGAAATGGCTTGTTTATTACACAATAAGGAAAGCTCAGTCGCATTAGAAATAATCAGGATCCTCAAATATGACAATCCTGCCCAAAACCATAGTATCAATTTCAATACCAACATATCGAAATCTCAACTACAATACAAGTGAGAGAATGTCAACAAAAGTCATTCTTCAAATAAGCTGTAAAATAAGCATTCTCACTGTAGCGAGGCAATTTTACAAGTAGTATAAATACAAGCTCTCTTAAAAATCATGTATCTTTTCTTCAGTTTTTCTTTTAATCGAAAATAAAGGTGGAAAGACTATAATTGTATTTCTCTGGCTTTATTTTTTTTATTTTTTTTATTTTCACATAAAATTGATCCCAATTTTATTGCAGTATTTTTTAGATTGATTTAGATTCTAATATAAATAGACAGCTTCTTGTCAATCAATAAATCAATAGTTTTGTATCTGGTAAACTAAGTCTTTATTACATTCTTATATTTTTATATCACATACAATCACCTGCTGTGCTCATTTTCAAGACCTGGCACAACACACATGTCATAGGATATCACCACTTTGCACTGGGATAAAGATCAGCCATTCAATGGCACCACTCATGTTTCTTTGCCATATCTAAATAAAGTCATTCCATTCTACTACGCATTTCTACTCATGCTCGCTTTATGATGTATTATACTTTGTATAATACATTGGCACTAAGATTTGATCTGTATCCTAAACATTTGTAACCCATTAGCTATTAACAAGCTGACAGATACTGTACCAAAAGTTCTGGCTGAGCATAACAGGTGGTGGCGTTCTATTAGTATCTATTGAAATATAGTAGGTTATAAATAAATTTGCTTTAATAACTATCTCTTTAATATTGGAGCATGCGAGCTGGATCTTTTGTTTTAACCCATTAAAACCAGCTTTGAGGATACTACCGAATGGAATTTTTCTTGTAAAGCCTTGTATTTAGCCCCAAGGTTATTACGCAGAATTTGACTTTACTTGAAATATTATATAGGCATGTAATCTTCCACATTTAATAGGTTTTGTAGCTTCATGTTTAGTTTTTGTGTTGTTTTGAATATTTCTTGTCTATTTTAGTTGCAGGGCTCTGCTTTCTTTTACTATTGGTTGTATCAACTTTTGATTTAAATGTTATATCTGAGTCTGCAGTTGGAGGTATAAGTAATTTGCATTTATAATAGTTTTTAAAATAGTGCCAACTTCGTTGCGATCAACACAAAGAACATCTGTTATGTATAATACATTTTAACTTTGACTGTGTAAGATTAAATGTATACCAACTGATCCAGCTGCTGCTTGGCCTTTCCGTGCTTCGAAAACATCTTTTTTAAAATGGTTATTTCATGCATTTCTATGTACTAGTGCAAAGTAAAGATACAAAGCAACATGATTTTCACCATCAATTGCAAATATTGAGGTACTAACGCATAGTTACAGATGATTTGAATATTATATATTAATGTCAAGCTGCGATTACTGTGCATGCTTTTTGAACGGAAGCTTAGGATACCAACTGCTTTTATTTTCTAAAATACGAGATGACTTATAAATCAATGTATCTCAGGTTTCTCTACTTTTCCAAATGGCCTTTTCTTCACTTCCTTTTTCTAGATGCCTTCTATTTTTAATCCTCCCTCTAAATCTTTGTTTTTGCTTGCCACAGAATTAATGTATTCTTTTCTGAATGCGTATAATCGTCTACAAAAAAAAAAAAAAAAAAAAAATCCAGTCTTGAAATCCTAAAGCAAGAACTCAAGGAGTCTGCCAACATGACTGATTGGCTGCTGGGACCCAGATACAATTATAATAGGAACCATCCGCTTTTTTTTACTTATTTATTTTCTCCATAAACAAATGGACTTTTTCTCTAGAGGATACACGGCCTTAAGAGGTGAGCGCGGACAGCCCCAATCTGCTGATGAGACGATTGAAAAGCTTGCCGACTGTCTCGAGACCGCGACTTTATTAGAAGATAGGCGTGCAGGCGTCTTAAGCCTGAAGGGCTTAGTTAGAGATTGGCCAGAGGTAAACTTCTACTTTTGTTGAGAAGAATACTAGCTATTGATCACGACATATTATATCAGGAAGTTGGAAATAAGAGCTTTCCTGGGTTGATTAAAGTTTTACACACTGACTATAAAGATGTGGACATAACAAAATCTCTTTTGGAAACCATTACAATTCTTTGCACTGTTCAACACCAAGTAAGACCACGTCAAGGCGAAAAATGAAAAATGAAAGATGAATACTGAATAATGACTTTCTAGCAAGATAAAGATGACAGAGGATTCAAATTCACAGATTATTTCATTGAGGTAAATGAGGTTGCCTAAACGAAACTAAAAGGAAGTAAAATTCAGTAACGAGTATACAGGATTCTAGCAACGTTACCATCCTTCTAGATGTTTTAGAGGAATTTGATTTCTATGTTCGATATAACACCATAAAATTACTATCGACACTATTAGCAAACAGAAGTAAACGAATTCAAGAATGCATCTTGACAAATCCCATGGGTATTTCTCGCCTTGTGGACATGCTGGATGACAAAAGAGATATAATAAGAAATGGTAAACAGCTGTACTGCTACTGGAACCTGTGGATTAATATTATTTTTTAGAAGGGTTACTCTTGTTAATTGGTCTTACCCGTAGCAATACTGAAGTGCAAAAGATTGTTACTTTCCAAGCTACATTTGAAAAATTATTGGCTGTAATTGAAGAGCAAGAAGGCATCTCGGGTGATATTGTCGTACAGGATAGCTTAACATTAATGCACAATTTATTGAGATACAATGTATCTGACCAAGCATACTTTCGCGAAACGAGTTGCATTCAGCAAATTCCTGGTTTATTAGGTTACGTCGGCGACAGTGATGCCGACCATGTCCCTTATTCATTTGAAGACTGGCCACCTCAAAAGATTGCCAATACTGTTCTGGTTTTACAATTGATTCGTATTTTGACCGAACCTGATAGCAGTAGCGCGCCCATTAATCAAAAAGTGATGGTGCAAAGTGGTATTCTTTTGCCTATCGTCCAATTAGGTCTTTGCTCTAACGCACCTTCCATTGTGCGTACCGAGGCTCTTTATTCGATTGCATATGTTGTAGCCTCTAATACTGAAAACCAAAGTATTTTTAGCAAAATCGTAGTTGCTTGTCCGCCTGTTTTGACTCCAGAAGGCCAGATTGATCCTAATGCAGTGCCTGGTATTCCTCGACCTGCAATGGTTTCTCTTATTTCGATTGCTGTAACTGAGGATCGTGGAATACCTTATAGCTATTCGAGTCGTGCCGCTGCTACTTATGCTGTATATTCGAGCCTGGAAGAGAACCCGGATGCCCAGCTTGTTTTGGCATCTACTCTCAGGACACCACCAGAAGATAACGTGAATAGCTCCTTTGCTGGCAAGTGCCATACATTTTTGACGTATTATTTATAATCCTAACTTTTGACTTTATAGACAAAGCGCACTCTGCCG